GCAGACTGGCCAGTGGGGGTGGGGCCTGGCTCCTAGTTGGGGTGGGGGGGAATTGCATTCAGGGCCCAGTCTCTGCAGGCCAGGCCGGGTTCCCAGCGCTCCGCCTCCACCCCCAGGTGCAGTACATCGACCTGCGGGACCGGTTTGACGGGGACATCCGCACGCTGGAGCTGCTGCTGCGCATCGTGGAGTTCATGCACCCCAGCTTCGGGTTCAGCTGGGTGCTCAAGTCAGAGCCAGGCCTTGTTCCCCGTAACCCCCCTCCCCAGCTGGATCAGAACCAGCGCCCCCTAGGCCCCGTTCCCCATAACCTCCCCCTGCCTGGATCAGAGCCAGGCCTTGTTCCCCGTAACCCCCCTCCCCAGCTGGATCAGAACCAGCGCCCCCTAGGCCCCGTTCCCCATAACCTCCCCCTGCCTGGATCAGAGCCAGGCCTTGTTCCCCGTAACCCCCCTCCCCAGCTGGATCAGAACCAGCGCCCCCTAGGCCCCGTTCCCCATAACCTCCCCCTGCCTGGATCAGAGCCAGGCCTTGTTCCCCGTAACCCCCCTCCCCAGCTGGATCAGAACCAGCGCCCCCTAGGCCCCGTTCCCCATAACCTCCCCCTGCCTGGATCAGAGCCAGGCCTTGTTCCCCGTAACCCCCCTCCCCAGCTGGATCAGAACCAGCGCCCCCTAGGCCCCGTTCCCCATAACCTCCCCCTGCCTGGATCAGAGCCAGGCCTTGTTCCCCGTAACCCCCCTCCCCAGCTGGATCAGAACCAGCGCCCCCTAGGCCCCGTTCCCCATAACCTCCCCCTGCCTGGATCAGAGCCAGGCCTTGTTCCCCGTAACCCCCCTCCCCAGCTGGATCAGAACCAGCGCCCCCTAGGCCCCGTTCCCCATAACCTCCCCCTGCCTGGATCAGAGCCAGGCCTTGTTCCCCGTAACCCCCCTCCCCAGCTGGATCAGAACCAGCGCCCCCTAGGCCCCGTTCCCCATAACCTCCCCCTGCCTGGATCAGAGCCAGGCCTTGTTCCCCGTAACCCCCCTCCCCAGCTGGATCAGAACCAGCGCCCCCTAGGCCCCGTTCCCCATAACCTCCCCCTGCCTGGATCAGAGCCAGGCCTTGTTCCCCGTAACCCCCCTCCCCAGCTGGATCAGAACCAGCGCCCCCTAGGCCCCGTTCCCCATAACCTCCCCCTGCCTGGATCAGAGCCAGGCCTTGTTCCCCGTAACCCCCCTCCCCAGCTGGATCAGAACCAGCGCCCCCTAGGCCCCGTTCCCCATAACCTCCCCCTGCCTGGATCAGAGCCAGGCCTTGTTCCCCGTAACCCCCCTCCCCAGCTGGATCAGAACCAGCGCCCCCTAGGCCCCGTTCCCCATAACCTCCCCCTGCCTGGATCAGAGCCAGGCCTTGTTCCCCGTAACCCCCCTCCCCAGCTGGATCAGAACCAGCGCCCCCTAGGCCCCGTTCCCCATAACCTCCCCCTGCCTGGATCAGAGCCAGGCCTTGTTCCCCGTAACCCCCCTCCCCAGCTGGATCAGAACCAGCGCCCCCTAGGCCCCGTTCCCCATAACCTCCCCCTGCCTGGATCAGAGCCAGGCCTTGTTCCCCGTAACCCCCCTCCCCAGCTGGATCAGAACCAGCGCCCCCTAGGCCCCGTTCCCCATAACCTCCCCCTGCCTGGATCAGAGCCAGGCCTTGTTCCCCGTAACCCCCCTCCCCAGCTGGATCAGAACCAGCGCCCCCTAGGCCCCGTTCCCCATAACCTCCCCCTGCCTGGATCAGAGCCAGGCCTTGTTCCCCGTAACCCCCCTCCCCAGCTGGATCAGAACCAGCGCCCCCTAGGCCCCGTTCCCCATAACCTCCCCCTGCCTGGATCAGAGCCAGGCCTTGTTCCCCGTAACCCCCCTCCCCAGCTGGATCAGAACCAGCGCCCCCTAGGCCCCGTTCCCCATAACCTCCCCCTGCCTGGATCAGAGCCAGGCCTTGTTCCCCGTAACCCCCCTCCCCAGCTGGATCAGAACCAGCGCCCCCTAGGCCCCGTTCCCCATAACCTCCCCCTGCCTGGATCAGAGCCAGGCCTTGTTCCCCGTAACCCCCCTCCCCAGCTGGATCAGAACCAGCGCCCCCTAGGCCCCGTTCCCCATAACCTCCCCCTGCCTGGATCAGAGCCAGGCCTTGTTCCCCGTAACCCCCCTCCCCAGCTGGATCAGAACCAGCGCCCCCTAGGCCCCGTTCCCCATAACCTCCCCCTGCCTGGATCAGAGCCAGGCCTTGTTCCCCGTAACCCCCCTCCCCAGCTGGATCAGAACCAGCGCCCCCTAGGCCCCGTTCCCCATAACCTCCCCCTGCCTGGATCAGAGCCAGGCCTTGTTCCCCGTAACCCCCCTCCCCAGCTGGATCAGAACCAGCGCCCCCTAGGCCCCGTTCCCCATAACCTCCCCCTGCCTGGATCAGAGCCAGGCCTTGTTCCCCGTAACCCCCCTCCCCAGCTGGATCAGAACCAGCGCCCCCTAGGCCCCGTTCCCCATAACCTCCCCCTGCCTGGATCAGAGCCAGGCCTTGTTCCCCGTAACCCCCCTCCCCAGCTGGATCAGAACCAGCGCCCCCTAGGCCCCGTTCCCCATAACCTCCCCCTGCCTGGATCAGAGCCAGGCCTTGTTCCCCGTAACCCCCCTCCCCAGCTGGATCAGAACCAGCGCCCCCTAGGCCCCGTTCCCCATAACCTCCCCCTGCCTGGATCAGAGCCAGGCCTTGTTCCCCGTAACCCCCCTCCCCAGCTGGATCAGAACCAGCGCCCCCTAGGCCCCGTTCCCCATAACCTCCCCCTGCCTGGATCAGAGCCAGGCCTTGTTCCCCGTAACCCCCCTCCCCAGCTGGATCAGAACCAGCGCCCCCTAGGCCCCGTTCCCCATAACCTCCCCCTGCCTGGATCAGAGCCAGGCCTTGTTCCCCGTAACCCCCCTCCCCAGCTGGATCAGAACCAGCGCCCCCTAGGCCCCGTTCCCCATAACCTCCCCCTGCCTGGATCAGAGCCAGGCCTTGTTCCCCGTAACCCCCCTCCCCAGCTGGATCAGAACCAGCGCCCCCTAGGCCCCGTTCCCCATAACCTCCCCCTGCCTGGATCAGAGCCAGGCCTTGTTCCCCGTAACCCCCCTCCCCAGCTGGATCAGAACCAGCGCCCCCTAGGCCCCGTTCCCCATAACCTCCCCCTGCCTGGATCAGAGCCAGGCCTTGTTCCCCGTAACCCCCCTCCCCAGCTGGATCAGAACCAGCGCCCCCTAGGCCCCGTTCCCCATAACCTCCCCCTGCCTGGATCAGAGCCAGGCCTTGTTCCCCGTAACCCCCCTCCCCAGCTGGATCAGAACCAGCGCCCCCTAGGCCCCGTTCCCCATAACCTCCCCCTGCCTGGATCAGAGCCAGGCCTTGTTCCCCGTAACCCCCCTCCCCAGCTGGATCAGAACCAGCGCCCCCTAGGCCCCGTTCCCCATAACCTCCCCCTGCCTGGATCAGAGCCAGGCCTTGTTCCCCGTAACCCCCCTCCCCAGCTGGATCAGAACCAGCGCCCCCTAGGCCCCGTTCCCCATAACCTCCCCCTGCCTGGATCAGAGCCAGGCCTTGTTCCCCGTAACCCCCCTCCCCAGCTGGATCAGAACCAGCGCCCCCTAGGCCCCGTTCCCCATAACCTCCCCCTGCCTGGATCAGAGCCAGGCCTTGTTCCCCGTAACCCCCCTCCCCAGCTGGATCAGAACCAGCGCCCCCTAGGCCCCGTTCCCCATAACCTCCCCCTGCCTGGATCAGAGCCAGGCCTTGTTCCCCGTAACCCCCCTCCCCAGCTGGATCAGAACCAGCGCCCCCTAGGCCCCGTTCCCCATAACCTCCCCCTGCCTGGATCAGAGCCAGGCCTTGTTCCCCGTAACCCCCCTCCCCAGCTGGATCAGAACCAGCGCCCCCTAGGCCCCGTTCCCCATAACCTCCCCCTGCCTGGATCAGAGCCAGGCCTTGTTCCCCGTAACCCCCCTCCCCAGCTGGATCAGAACCAGCGCCCCCTAGGCCCCGTTCCCCATAACCTCCCCCTGCCTGGATCAGAGCCAGGCCTTGTTCCCCGTAACCCCCCTCCCCAGCTGGATCAGAACCAGCGCCCCCTAGGCCCCGTTCCCCATAACCTCCCCCTGCCTGGATCAGAGCCAGGCCTTGTTCCCCGTAACCCCCCTCCCCAGCTGGATCAGAACCAGCGCCCCCTAGGCCCCGTTCCCCATAACCTCCCCCTGCCTGGATCAGAGCCAGGCCTTGTTCCCCGTAACCCCCCTCCCCAGCTGGATCAGAACCAGCGCCCCCTAGGCCCCGTTCCCCATAACCTCCCCCTGCCTGGATCAGAGCCAGGCCTTGTTCCCCGTAACCCCCCTCCCCAGCTGGATCAGAACCAGCGCCCCCTAGGCCCCGTTCCCCATAACCTCCCCCTGCCTGGATCAGAGCCAGGCCTTGTTCCCCGTAACCCCCCTCCCCAGCTGGATCAGAACCAGCGCCCCCTAGGCCCCGTTCCCCATAACCTCCCCCTGCCTGGATCAGAGCCAGGCCTTGTTCCCCGTAACCCCCCTCCCCAGCTGGATCAGAACCAGCGCCCCCTAGGCCCCGTTCCCCATAACCTCCCCCTGCCTGGATCAGAGCCAGGCCTTGTTCCCCGTAACCCCCCTCCCCAGCTGGATCAGAACCAGCGCCCCCTAGGCCCCGTTCCCCATAACCTCCCCCTGCCTGGATCAGAGCCAGGCCTTGTTCCCCGTAACCCCCCTCCCCAGCTGGATCAGAACCAGCGCCCCCTAGGCCCCGTTCCCCATAACCTCCCCCTGCCTGGATCAGAGCCAGGCCTTGTTCCCCGTAACCCCCCTCCCCAGCTGGATCAGAACCAGCGCCCCCTAGGCCCCGTTCCCCATAACCTCCCCCTGCCTGGATCAGAGCCAGGCCTTGTTCCCCGTAACCCCCCTCCCCAGCTGGATCAGAACCAGCGCCCCCTAGGCCCCGTTCCCCATAACCTCCCCCTGCCTGGATCAGAGCCAGGCCTTGTTCCCCGTAACCCCCCTCCCCAGCTGGATCAGAACCAGCGCCCCCTAGGCCCCGTTCCCCATAACCTCCCCCTGCCTGGATCAGAGCCAGGCCTTGTTCCCCGTAACCCCCCTCCCCAGCTGGATCAGAACCAGCGCCCCCTAGGCCCCGTTCCCCATAACCTCCCCCTGCCTGGATCAGAGCCAGGCCTTGTTCCCCGTAACCCC